CCCCCCCCCCCCCACCGGCTCTGAAGTGTCCATGGTGGTGCTTGGAGTGGAGGTGGGGTTAACCCCAAGTATTGCATCCAGCTCTTTGTAGAATCGGCAGGTCGTGGGGGGAGCACCCGAGCGGCCATTTGCGTCGCAGGCTTTGCAGTAGGCACTCCGCAGCTCCTTCACTTTAATCCTGCACTGCAGGGCATCCCGGTCATGGCCCCTTTCCATCATGTCCTTTGATACCTTCCCGAAGGTATCGTAATTCTTACGGCTGGAGCGCAGCTGGGACTGTACAGCTTCCTCCCCCCAAACACTGATGAGGTCCAGCAACTCGCCATTGCCCCATGCTGGTGCTCGCTTGGCACGTGGAGGCATGGTCACCTGGAAAGATTCGCTGATAGCACTCCACACCACGCCGGGCTGAGCAAACAGGAAGGGGATTTTTAAAATTCCCGGGGAATGTAAAGGGTGGGGTCACATGGTTGGTTACCTGAGGCCCGGGCAGTAGAGTTTGAACTGATGACCAGAGTGGCTAGAACAGGCATTGTGGGATACTGCCGAATAATTCTGGAGGCCATTCACAGCGCATTGGGCGGCCACACTGGCGCCGCAGCACTGCAGCGGCAGCGCAATACTTGCTGTTCCTCTTGGAGAGGTGGAGTACATGCAGCGCTGCAACCACGGAGATACAGCGCTGCAAATGCCTTGCCAGTGTGGACGGGGAGTGAGTTACAGCGCTGGGGGAGCCTTTACAGCACTGTAACTCGCAAGTGTAGCCAAGGCCTTAGATCTGAAACAACTCAACAAAAATAGTTAGACTCAGTCGACAACCTCCGAAAACTAGTAAACTTAGCATTATAAACAGCCTGTCAAACCGGGTAACGCCTACGCGTGACGAGAAAAATGACATCATTGCCACTTTGTACCGTAGTGAAGCAGTACGCTTGTGCCCGCGACGCAGAGCTAGCGTAGGTAGGGTTACCATATGTAGATACAATGTGATTGTCGGAGAGGGAGGATTTGGCCCTGAAACAATAACTGTATTAAGATGCTGCCTGTGGAAAAAGTTTGAGAAACTTTGACTTAAATTTCTTTGGGGACATGATGTAATATTCAGTATTGCCAACCTCAAACATTCAGAACTCATGAGTTGGGCCCCCACAAAATCACTCAATATCTGACCTATTAGTCCTCATCCTCAAAGGAAACCTGCAAAACACTTTTCAAAAGATGAGCCTGGGAGCTTGAATTCAAAACATTGCTGGACATTAAAAATCATGGTCTTCATAAAGATACTGGATTTATGGTTAATTACAACAATTTGCAACCCACTAATCTCCTCTTTTGTCCTGGGATTACAAGGGAGTTAATGGGCTACTTCACCTTGAATGGTCCCCTTGAATATGTGCTAACTACTTGTGCTAAACTATTTGTTAGATCTAGTGTTTAGCTGTGACACTGTTAGTACCTTTTCAGACCTGAAGAAGAACTCTGTGTAGCTCGAAAACTTGTCCCTCTCACTAACAGAAGTTGGTCCAATAAAAGAGATCACCTCATCCACTTTGTCTCTCTTAAATAATGTGACAGCACAAGGGATTGTATAAAATCATGTTTCAGAGTAGCAGCCGCGTTAGTCTGTATCCGCAAAAAGAACAGGAGTACTTGTGGCACCTTAGAGACTAACAAATTTATTAGAGCATAAGCTTTCGTGGGCTACAACCCACTTCTTCGGATGCATATGTGTCCCTGTAGCTAAACCCCATCACCCTGGTCCTTTTCAAGTGTTCATAGTAATAAGTTCAATAACAGATTTGCAGACCTTTGACAGCTCTACTTAAAAATGACCTGACAACTTTCCAACAACTGCTGAAAAGTGCTTTTTTGAAATGTTCTTTATAAAATAGGCCCCTCCCATATGATTTCATATTGTAAAGTTTGTCTTTAAGTTTAAACTAATATTTACTGAAACTTCTGTTTCTATTTTGCATAATATGTGTTTCTTACTTTACTAATCACTTCCTTATGTGGGAAGTGTGAAACCAACAGTCATGGCGTGATTTTCCTAGTTTTGTGGCTGTTATATAATCAGTTGAATTACTTTTTAAAATGTTAGCTACATTAATTTCTTTGTATGCTGTGGCTTTCTGAACAGTTTGAAGAGCAGGATACATCATTGCAGCTGGAATTGTTTTCTTGATTTAAACACTGCAAATAAAAAAAGTTGGGGCATATTTTTGAAAGTTAGGTTAATGCAAATATCAAGTATTTAATCATGTAACTTTTTAAATAGGTTGTTTTCTCATAGATATCCCAGATTAATCCATACAGGGAAATACAACTAGAAAGTCCAGGGGTCTTTTTGAGCTGTGGAGGCTTGGCCCGTGCGACATGAGGGGAAGGGGACCCCAAGTGGCTGCAACTTACAACTCCCAGGTTCAGGTCATCGGCCCTAGGGGTCAGCGCCGTGAAGGTTTCCTGCCAAGCCAGCCAGATGACGATGGTCAGGAACGTTTCGCGGGAACCCCACTCTGCCTGGTGGCCACGGTCCACAGCAGCACCCCTCCTAGTCCTGCACCGCCTCCCGCTGCTGCTCCCAGGGCAGGAGCCAACGCCGGGCTCCGGCGATCTGCGGGGTACAGAGGCGGCGGGTGGCATCCGAGCTCGCGGCCGCCTCCTCCTCGGGCTTCAACTTTCCCGACTCCCTGAACCGCGGGGCCCGAAGCAACTTCCCACCCCTCCCAGCTGCTGCTGCGCGGGGGAAGTGCCCGGCCGGGGACGCACAGGCTGGAGAGCGGCGGGAGCCGGGAAAGTTGGAGCCCAGGGAGGAGGCGGCTTCACACTTGGACGCCGCCCGCCGCCTCTGTCCTCCGCATATCGCTGGAGTCCTCCGGGAGGGGCAGTGGCAGTGGCTCACACGCCTGGGAGCGGCAGAACCTGAGTGCGGTGAGGGGCGAGCCGGGGGGTGCGCCTGCCCTGGCTGCAGCCCAGGGCCCCCCCCCCCCCCCCCCCCGGGCTCCTGGAGCGGTTGCATGCTGGCGGTGCCCCCTGTGGGCCTCCTGGCTACCCCCTCGCCGTGCTCGGGCTCTGCAGCTCCCGGGAGTGTGAGCCGCCGCCGCTGCCTCCCCTCCCAGAGCAGGCTCAGGGTCCTGCACCCCGGCAGCGGCTCACATGCCCGGGAGCTGCAGAGCCGGAGCACGACTAGGGGGGAGCCAGGGGTGCCCGGGTCCACCGCCCACGTGCATCTGCTGCAGGAGCCGCTCGCCGCTGCCGCTCTGGCTCTCCGGTGCCTCCAGAAGGCGGCTCCTTCCTGCCGAGCTAAGCCACTGCTTTTTGGCGCCCCCAACCACTTGGCACCCTAGGCAACCACTTAGTTCGCCTAGTGGTTGCACTGGCTCTGGTAGGAAGATGATCTATGGGGAAATTCAGCTTGCAAACATCAGAGTTAATGAAAATGGATGCAAAGTAATTAGTGTGTGGAACACTGGTCTTACCTTTCCATGTGTCTTTCATATCAAACAAATATTTTCTTTCATTATAATAGGTGATTCTTAAGTGGTTAAATAACCTTTTCAGCAATGTAAACAGCTGTTAATGTTTCTGTCAAGATGCACAAACAGAGCATATGCTGATTATTTACTTTTTTATCAAAAGGCACCTTGCTTAGTTTTTGTTTTTATTTCAGGAAATGTGCAGAACCTTTTTAGAATGCTTCCTTTTTAATTCAAAATAAATTTTTATAGTGAATACGTTAATCTCTAAAGAAGAATGAATTAGAAGGATTAAGTGTCCTATTTAATTTTAATAAAACGATACTCCATTTACTGGTGGTTATAACAGAGTAATCATGGTTTTATTTACAGAAGAATCTACAAATGTGGAGAAAAAAGAGAAGCCTCTTCCCAGACTTAATGTTCACTCTGCATTCTGGATTTTGGCATCAATTGCTGTGACATACTATGTTGAATTTTTTAAAACTATTAAAGAAACCATTCAAGCAGATAGGTAAGGGATCCTCTTCTTAAAAAGAAAAGTTCTTTGTACGTCTTCAACATTATTACTGTAGATTTCATCTTTGTGGTCAATTAAAAAGTTAATTTTTCCATACAAGCTTTACAAGATTCTTCTTACACAGTAACACAGGACCCTATAATCGAATTATAGTACATTATTTTGCTATAGTGCATGGGATCAGAATTTAGAACTTGCTCTGTCTCTTGGTCCTATATTGGGTAGCATGTTGGTTACATTTTTGGAAAGGACATATTGTGTCTTCCTTTGGCTCTGTAGAAACTCTTCTGCCTGTTTTTGGAAAATTTATTTGAGATTGAAAGAAGTTAACACCTTTTAATCAAGGATGGCTTACTGTACCTTTGAGAGTGAGGGAAAGGGAATTAAAATGTAAAAATGAGGGGATAATACCTGGATTTAAGACAGATGCCAAAGGCTAAAAAGGTAATATTTATTTTCATGGCTATTTGTCCTACGGCATTAGCTTACAGAGCTGATGTATTTGTGGGGGGTTAAGTTGAAACCATTAACTCAAAACATCCAGTGGTTTTAAAGGAGCAAATTGAGGATTGGGTCTTTTAAGTATTTTATAAGGCCTCAGTTGTGCAAACACTTACACGTGCTTAAACTTTACTACTATGAATAATCCGTTGAGTTCAGTTGGACTGCCCTTAGTAATAAAGTGCATATTTGCAGGATTGGTGCAGACTGCACGCTTATCAATAGAATTACCAGTTTTACAGTTAAATTGGAGTAAAGATTTTTAGACCCTGTGCGGATACAAAATTTGTATCTGCGTCCTATCTGTAAACGTGGTCCATGGATATCTGCATCCACCAATGTGGATATCCACGGATATGAAATGGATATCTACAGATTTGCAGGGCTCTAAAGATTTGAGCTGGTTTGAAATATGGGTAACACAAGTTATGAACTAATCTTGTTGAGAGGTTTTGGGATATTGGAGAAATTCTTACCTGATATTATGTGGGCTAAGCTGTAAATTCCATATATTGCACATATAGCAGACAGTCATAATAATTAATTTGTAGCAAATAGTTTTCCTTCATCATGTGTGTGTCTTACTAGGTTATCAGTTTTGAATGTTGCTGATATTTTCTGGGCTTTTTATGAATATTGCTCTCATGGTGAGGAGAGGTGGTAAGCTATTTTTTAATGAAGTAGCTGCTTACAGTGGCTTAATCTTTTGCCAAAGATTAGTCTACAAACATTGTGAATTTTAGATAGTTTTATGTTTCAGGCAACCAGATAATTGTTACTGATAAGAACTTCCAATTTATCATTGATTAGCACTCACTTAACTTGTCTCATCCATGCACACACATATGAACAGATTTAAAATCAATAAAACAGAGAAATTTACAGAGCAGAGCTGTAAAGTACCACTATGGTACTATAAAAAAGGTAATTAAATGTAATATGAACTTGTTTTTCTGATGTGTATATTTTTTCTTTAAATTTTAAAAATTATGTTTAGGATCAGATCAATAACTTTCTTCCTAAATAGAGTAGAAAGACTTAACTAGATTATAGGAATGCACTAACACTTTTGCATTGTTTTCAATTGGGCTGATGCGTGATGAGCATTTTTGAAAATCTGTCCCCAGATGTAATCATTGGCTGAGTCCAATTCTGTGCTGAGCTGTTATCAGTCCCCCATGATTTGAGAGTGCTTAGCTCCTTGCAGAATAAGGTCCCAAGTGTCCCCATGTCTCTACCAGTGCACATCTAAGAGCTTTGCTACAATATTTCAGAGCAGGTGATCTCTTGGACAAAGACAGTTGCTCTGCTGTCTGTTGTGGTTTAGTAATTTCAACTGAGGTGATATAAATTCACTTCATTTGTGAAGCTGAGCATATTTGAACTCTATTTGGACATATTTCACCAGAAAATAATTTTAAAAATTGGCACCTATAGTCCATAATTTGTTAGCTTTCTAAGTTCCATACCGTTGAGTTCCATACACTGTTATGCCTGGATTTGAAATAATTTTTCCTTATGGTTTTGTTTAGCCAGTATATTAAACTGTTTGACTCTATTAGAATCCTGTAATGAGTTTGTAGATGTGAAAGTTTATTAAAACATTTAACTAACTTTCAGCATGAGAATGATCTGAGAAAATACTGTGTTTTAGCAATTGAAAACAAGGTAATACTGTGTATTTAAAAAAGATAACTTTTTTCCAAGGGTTGCAGAACTAAGTGGAGTTAAACTTTTAGTTAATTCAGGAAGGCTTCTGTTTGATAATGTTCAATGAAAAGCTCAGAACTTCACTTTATATAAGAACTACACAATAAACTGTCATATAAAATACAAATGTAGTGGTTATCCTCTGGCTTGGGAATGTGGCCAGATCTAAACTAAATACTTTTGCCAATATAGCAATATCGGTATGGGGGGTGTTTAAAGGGGTTGTGTGGTTTTTTTTTGTTTGTTTGTTTGTTTCTGATTCAGAAATATATCAGCAAAAGTCAAGAATAGATCCAGTTATACTGGCATAAAAATGTTTTTGGTAGTATAGTTTATTTCACTCTGACGATTGGTGTAAGCTATACCAGCAAAAGCACTTTTTTTGCAGGTGTAAGCTAGATTGGTCCATATAGCTAAATCTATTCTAGTGTAGACCTGGCATGAGCCTAACTATTTAGGACTCTCGTAATCTGTTGACAACGCTTGACTAACAAAAAGAATTGTTCCAGTACATTTATACACTGCAGAGTAGATCTTCACTAATTCCCCCTAATTACTGAGACTCACTGAAAGTAACTTAATTTTGTGAGGTTTCAGAGTAGCAGCCGTGTTAGTCTGTATCCGCAAAAAGAACAGGAGTACTTGTGGCACCTTAGAGACTAACAAATTTATTAGAGCATAAGCTTTCGTGGGCTACAACCCACTTCTTCGGATGCATCCGAAAGCTTATGCTCTAATAAATTTATTAGTCTCTAAGGTGCCACAAGTACTCCTGTTCTTTTTTTTAATTTTGTGAATTATTGTGATACAGTATTCTTGCTGTTATCATGTATCATAAGATATGCTTAAGTAATTTCTTTGTTTTATACAGATGTATTGTATTTTGTGAAAGTAATGTACTCTTAGTAACATCAGCGTTTACTACAACACAATAAAAATCTATGAAGTAAGGAGCTACTGTGAATTAGAGTGATGGATAATAACAGGCAAACTGAAATTTTGCTGTATTTAATTTGTTTATTTCTTTGCAGTTGGTGCATTGTTCTCGGCAGCTGTTTGTTGGTTGCAAGCTTAGCTATTGCTTTTTACTGCATAATATATCTAGAATGGTATTGTGGAATTGAGGATTATGATGCCCAGTATCCAGTACTGATACCTGTCACAACTGCCACTTTTATTGCAGCAGCAGTTTGGTAAGTTAAAGTGCTGCAGAAATACATAAAACTTTTGCAAAACCTGAAGAGGGATTATCAGTGATAATGCCAACAGCCTCTCGAATTTAGATGCACTAGTGGACACTGATCGAATGGTCACTTCTGTAGATTTTGGTCAAGTCCAGTAATGTTGCTCACCTCCTGAATTAGTTCTATTTAGCATAAAGTCTTTATTTCCATTAATATTCTTGGTGACCATGGATCAGATTCTGCCACCCTTATTCCTGTTTACTAGGACCTTGTTTCATGAGTAGTCTCCTGTAAATCAAAGGGCCTTTATATATGGTAATTCTTTTTTTTTTTAAGTAAAAGTGGTAGACCTGGCCTTGTCTCTAATAACCTTAAAACAAAATGTCTTATATCAAAAATACAACAGAGTACATTGTTGAGAAAGTAGTAAAAAATGCCAGATCAAGGTGGTAAACCTATGAAGAGAATAAACCACTACTGAAACAAAAATTTTAGACATCATACTGCCATCATTTTTTGGTTACATTTTCCTTTTATTGAAAAAGTGAATTCCTAATTGTTGGAAAGCTGTGATTGCAGACTGGAACTGAGGCCAGTAATGGTCGAAATTGTATATTAAGTCCACTTCTAGGTGTATTGGTTCTTCTATTTTTTCCAAGTGTTACGAAGATAGAAAAGTCCTTCCCTGGTTTTGTTAAATTAAAGATGATTGTTAAAAATAAAGCTGAGAAGATAGGACAAAACTAAATACTCTATGTACAACTGTTTTTCAAGGTGGAAACTACCTCAAATTGCTTTATAGCCAGACTGGAGTACAGATAGCTTTTATCAAACTTGCAGAACACTGCTTAAATAAAAAAATTTCAAGATATACTTTGAACTGTGACTTTTTTGGAAAGCTTATTTTTCAAGCATTTATAACTTGGCTTTTACTGAAATGCTACAGCCTGACACCTTGCTTTATATAATGCTAAACTCTTATTCCCAGTCTATAACAATTGTGCATGGATGCAGAAAAAGAAATCTTAAAAACAAGAAGTTTGTGTATTCCTTGCTTTCCAATTCAGTTTAAAAAAGGTGGAGCCAATTTTGAAAGTTTCACTATTGCATGAGTTTTCAGACAGTGCCAATAGGTGACCTTATGACACATTTGTTGCAAAACTTGAGAACAAAAGGAAAGGTGAAAGAAGAAAAATGGTCACACTTGGCTTAGAATTTCTGTTTTTGTTGCTCAAGTCAATTTTTATTCTCAGGTTGTACAAGGATATCTTGGAGTTCTCTTGTCAGTTAATTCATGATCAAGGCTGCTTAGCTGGACGATCTAAAAGCTTTTCATAACTGCCAGCCCTGAACACTATCTGAAAATCAAATTGCTCATCTTATTTCCTACATAAACACAGACAATTAAAAGTTCTTTATGCTGATGCTCTCTCTTCCCTGGCTGTAATATTTGTTGTATAGGACAGAAATTAATAGCTGTTGTGTTGGGAGGGTTTCTAGTAAACCAAGGAATTGTGTCACAGGTGTGTAATAACATGGTGCCACTTCTATAGAGTTGTCTTTCACACCATAACAAAATTGATTGTGTAGAAGGAGACTTTTTTACAATACTGTTTTCAAATTAATTTGATCTTTCAAGATTGGGGTGTAGAGTCCTTAATCTTACTTCTGGTACAATATGCCAAATATGTGCAGGATATAGTACATGACATTAAATTTACTAAAAAAAAATTAAACTTCTTCTTCTTTTTATTTCCAGTTTCAACATCGCCTTATGGCCTGTATGGTCATTTCTCACCCCTCTGTTGCTGTTCACTCAGTTTATGGGTGTTGTGATGCTTGTGTCACTGCTGGGATGAGTCACCTAAGGTAACACGTTTTTAAATATCTATGTACATCCACAAACTTGTCTTTTGAATTATACTAACTTTCATTTGATAAACCAATTGCACTCTAACAAAAATGCAAGAAACAGAACTCTAACAAGTTTAGTCAATATATCTTGTCTGTAAATTAGTCCTTATGCAAAATATCCAGTTTTAACATGCTATAAACTAATCCCTTCTCCCCCCTTCATTCCTGAATTGTTTTTCAACTTTCAGGAATGAGCCAGGGTTGGAATTTGTCACAGCTGTGTTGGTGCTAGTGGGGTAGAATGTTGGGTAGGTGGTATATCAGTGTGTGTCCTGTGGTGCTTTGGCCATAGCATAGGAAAGAAATGGACTGTGGAATAGGATTAAGTGCCTTGTCAGGGAGATGGATCGCTGATTGACTGAGAGTGAGTGAACGCTGTGCTGGCATTTTAGCTGGCTGAAAGGAGTGGCGGCAGCTACAGGTAGAGATGGGGACTAAAAGCAGGGATTGCAAAGCATGCTCTCTATAGAGCATTGGAGTGAGGTGGGACTATTGCTAACCTCTGGAAAAATTAAGTTCCCAATATGCCATTAACATAGCCTTAAAATTAATACATATATTGGCAAATATGTAAAAAACAAAGTCCCTAACTAAAATGTTACCTCATGGGAAAAACTTGGCCCAAAGTCTACTAAAATTCCCAGTGATCCCTGTAAATGCGGTATTAGGGCACTAGTGACTTGAGAAGAACATTGCAGTATTTTTTCTTTTCCCTCAAGCAACATGAACTCTTCACTTAAACCTTTTTGCATCCTGTGCACCTCACGTTCAAGGACGGGGGAAACTTTTAGGTTTCCTCCTTCATTTCTCCCACATACTTGTGTATCTTATTTCCCATATTCCACATGCTCTGGTAACTGAGGGGAGTTTTTCCGCCCTTACCTAAAACATTGTCAGTCTGGATTGTAAGCAATAGAGACCAATGAATTTAGACATCAGGAACTTTTGGCCAAGTGGCTGAAACTTTATTAAATCAGAACAGGATTACTTCTGGGGGCAATCTGTCCTAGTAGCAAAGGAAAAAGGAGAAAACTATTGACACCCATTTGTTACCATTTCTCCCCTTTTTTGATGCTCAAATCCAGAGCATTCCATTCCTAGGTCTTATCCTGCCCACTTAAACAATAGCCTTTCTTTGTCTGCAATCCAGAATGGCTTGAGAAACCACTAAGCCTCATGAGGTGGCTCATGCTTTCTGCAAGTGAACCACCTTTTCTAAGGGAAAAGAATTTCCCCTTGCAGATTTGAGACAACCACCCCAGTAACTACCCTCGTGAAAAGGGGATCTGACAGGCTGTACAACCCAAAATTGTGATCCTCTGAAAGGAAAGTAAAGCAAACAAACAAAAAATCCAAGCTGCACAACACAAACCACATATATCCATGTCAGTTCAGCAAACAGTTTATGCCAGCTGGTGGAGCCAAGAAAGAGGCCCTCTTCCATTTAGCCTGATTCTTTATTAACTGCCCTGTGCAACAGACATCTGGATTATCCAATGATAGCTCCCCTCCTAGAGAAGCTGGTTCACTGGCTGGCTGACTGTTGTTACAGGGCAGCCTAGTTTGTTAGCCTGTCCTCTGCCCCCTCGCCCCTGTAAACCCACTTTAAGAAGGCCAGCATGCCTTTATGTGAACACAGCGATGACGAATGTAATGTACTCTTTCAGTCTCGGTCTCTAACTCTAAAGCTACCACATCTGAGATAACTAATAGTTCTGACAATATGTAATGTTGGTTTTGCTTTGTTTGCACAAAAGAAATAAAATAATATAACTAATCCTTACTTTTCTTTGAGTTTCTAGGTATCAAGAAATCTGCCTTTGCAAGGAGGTAACTAACTTGGTTCGCTACGCTGTGTGCAAACTTTAAATACTATGGGTTCCTTGTGAACTTCTGCTGAAAAACATGGCAATATTGTATTTCAAAACTTTAATATCACAGTAAGAGTCTGATTCACATTTACAAAAGCAAATCAATTCAACATTCATGCCAGTTCCATCTGTCACTAGCCATGTTATTGTTGGAATTTGTAGGGGGAAAAGGGGTGCATGTGCTGCAATGCTCAGAAGCTACTAGATGGAGTTAAAGAACTGATCAAATTAAGGTGTCACTAAAGAGTCATAGAAGGGTCTGTTGTTACTAGCAGATGTATAATACATATTTGTGTTTCTTTGCCAATTCAGACATGTACATTTAAGATCTTTCCTAGAGAAAGTAAGTTATGAAAAGTACAAGTGCGACTTATTCTCTTGATGTTTGTTTGCTTCTCTGATACAAGATTTGGGGAATTAAATTGCACTGTATTCACCATTCCTCCTCGCTATCTGCTGTTAAATTATTTTTATGTATTACATGGAAGAGTGCCTATTAACCAGATTTCCCTTTCCTTTCTTAACAAGAAGGAAATCTACTGTAAATGTAAAGGCAACTAATGTAAATTTAAAGGCAACTAGTCATGCAACAGTGGAATGTAAACTGTTCGTACTGTTTATAATGCTAAATTTACTAGTTTTCGGAGGTTGTCGACTGAGTCTAACTATTTTTGTTGAGTTGTTTCAGATTTAAGACTGGCAATTGCTGCTGCATCATTTCGCTAATACTTTGTGTCAATTGTGTGTGTATGTTAAGTATTTGAGTGTACACCTCTACCCCTATATAACACGAATTTGGATATAACGCGATAAAGCAGCGCTCTGGGGGGGGCGGGACTGCGCACTCTGGCATTGAAAGCAAGTTCGATTAATGCGGTTTCACCTATAACGCGGTAAGATTTTTTTGGCTCCCGAGGACAGCGTTATATCGGGGTAGAGGTGTGTATGTTTATCATGTGCGAATATGCGTGTGTAGGTTATTGAAATTTGTCATATTGATATTGTCTGTTGTATGACGGAGTATCTGCCATTCTAATTTTATAAATGTTATTAATAACAATAATTGGATATTCTAAAGGTAGAATAAAATGTAGTAGATTTTGATATGAAAGAAGGAAGGAAGTATACGTGACTAAAAAGGGTGTATTTCCGATTACAATTAACATTGAGCTCTTAATCAATCTTTACATCAAACATTTGACGAAATTCAAATAGTGACTCATAGTTAGTAAGTGACATGTATTCTCTATCCTTTACTTTTAATAGTGAACAAGAAAAAGAACTGATAGGAATAAAATTTCATTTTTTTTCATTTTCAGTTGATGCAGCCTCATGGCAGATGTAGGCTAAATAATGAAATTAATAAATTTTCAAGCCAAACGTGTATTAATTCTAATGAACAATGCCACATTATGCAGTGTTCATTTTTGAAAGTTTATAATAAGCGATGCTCCGGGGGAGGAGGACGGGGGGGTGCAAGGTGGAAGTTTTGCCTAGGGCGCAAAATATCCTTGCACCGGCCCTGACTGAAAGCATACAACATAAGTGACCCATCAAATTAAAATTATATTTGTATTATTTGAACTAGCTGGTACAATAAGTTGAACCTTGAGTAAGTCTCTGTTAATTCTAACCTTTCAGATCTAATGAGAGCGAGAAATATTCTCAAATAATAAAAGGGAGACTTTCCAGAGGTTCAGGGTTTTCAACTTTTCTTGTTTAAAAAATTCCTACAGTTTCTGCATGTGTATATATGTAAATTTGAGATGTATTTTGTTTATCATGATGCCTCAAATATATTATTGCTCAGGTACAGTAGTTCTGTCATTGTATACATCAAGCACATAAATTGATTACTTTCAATTTTAAATTGTATGTTTGCATTAATAAAACACTATGCAGCACACTTAATTTTACAAAGCTGTTCTGACTGGAAGCTTTTAATAAAGTTTATATACAGATGACTGATTCATTTTCAATACCTAATTGCTTAAGCAATCGGATTACTGTGTTCTCTAACACCATTAACATGTCGATTTGTGAAGCAGGTATGTTGTAATAATTGGGCCCTATGAATTTACCCTAATTATGAGCTCAACTGTAAAATAAGTGAAAGTTCATAAAGTGTTATAATAACCTATAACAAATGTTGGGGGAGCAGATGAAATTAGTCCAAACAAAGAGGCCTACTGATATAACTCAAGGACTGTGTTAAGATCATACCTGACAAACGAGTGTGGGACCAGAAATCAATGGACTGAAATTGATGTGTTGAAAATTAGGCCTATCTGGTTAGTATTTCACGCATCACTCCCTTTTCATAGATTCATAGATTCTAGGACTGGAAGGGACCTCGAGAGGTCATCGAGTCCAGTCCCCTGCCTGCATGGCAGGACCAAATACTGTCTAGACCATCCCTGATAGACATTTAAGAGTAGGTTAGATAAATATCTCCAGAGATGGAGATTCCACAACCTCCCTAGGCAATTTATTCCAGTGTTTAACCACCCTGACAGGAACTTTTTCCTAATGTCCAACCTAGACCTCCCTTGCTGCAGTTT